CTCTGGACTGCTTAAATGCCTCTTACACAACTACGGGAACAGTACAATAAACCTCTGCATTAGGTCTTGAAGTAGTTTGGCGCCAATTAACATGCAAACAAAAGACGGATACAACCCTCGATGTTAAACACAGAGCTACCTTACAGATCTGTACAGTAATATACTAGGAAGAGACAAAACGGTTCAGCGGAAAATTTAACGGTAAAAATAATTATTTGTTTTATAGAAGATTATTTTTTCTGATAACTTTTCGGCTCAACCGTTTTGTCTCTTCTGGATATATTACAGTAAAGATCCGTATTATAAAATGATTACCTATAATCAGCATTAACTCCGCACAACGGTTTGAACTGATCCAGGTGATGACTATCGACGGGGAACCAGAGTGGTAGCTCTCTAGGAGGGGCATACTGGAGGCTGTCGCCGAATGCTGAGGAATCAAAAGGATTGGCTGCCGCCTGGAAGTCAGAAAAGAACTTCCTGATGGACATGAGACGTACAACTCGGAGTTGAAGAGAAGGCTGAATTTAAGAAATGGCTTCGAAGAAAACAGTCTTCTACTCACACGCAGTATATCAAAGTACGCAAGGCGGCTGCGACAGCAACGGCAAATTCCAAGCTGATTCCCGGACAAAATTCGACAAGGGGTCGAAGTCGAATTTTCGGCCAGCAAACAAGGTATTCTGTGAGACCATTCGCCAGCTCCGAAGTAAAAAAGGATAGTCTGAGAGTCTTGAAGGACATGTATAACTACCCTCGTACCAAAAATAAGGGCATTCCTTGGCGATAGAGAGAGTATCTCGTGGAACTCCTTTACCAAGAGAAACTGAAGGAAGACTCGCATGCAGAGCAGCAGGGAACGGATATTACTATCTCTCTAGATGAAATTACACAAGCTGTGAAAAACCTGAAAAGTGGAAAGGCTGACGGAACTGATGAAATCCGTCCTGAGATGCTCAAAGCATAAGGCAAACAAGGCATGTGCTAGGTTATAGGTGTTTGTCAAACTGCAATGGCTAAGGGGTACAAAACGGGGACTATTCTACGCTTGTTCCAGAAGGGAGACCACAGGGAGTGGAGTATTACCTTAATGAGACTCCCAGGTAAAGTCTAAGCAAAGGTGTTAGAAAGGAGATGCCGTGGAAAAATTGACTGCAAGATACAAGAAGAGCAGGGTGGCTTCCAGCTCGATCGAAGCACTACTGAGCACATATTTGCCCTGCGCAAGATTGTTGAGAAATCATGGGAGTACGTTCGGCCGGTGTGCATCTGTTCTGTTGATCTAGAAAAAACCTATGACCTGATCTCACGCAACAGTTTGTGGTCATGCTTTCGAGCATACGGGATAGACGGTCAGTTGCTAAGGGCCATACAAACACTGTATTCTGGTTGCAGGTGCTCCGCCAGAATAAATGGCGTTTAGTTGAAACCATTCAAAGTTAGGACTAGCCTCCGCCAAGGGTGCGTCCTGTCCCATATCCTTGTTTGTTGTACATGGATAGAATAGTCAGGAGCTGCCAAGGCGATGAGGGTATCGGTATAGGAGATGTGAAGTCCAGAAGGTTGCTGTTTGCAGACGACCTTGTTTTATTAGCATCTTCTGAAACTGATCTTCAGTGCTGCTTAGAAAGGTTGGCAGCCGAGTGCGACGTGAGTAGCATGGGTGTGAACGCATCTAAAACGAAAAGCCCTGTGTTATCTTGTGTTCTTGTCGGTTCCCTTTTTCAAAATAACTTAGTGGCAGAAGACTTCTGGAGTAGGTGCAGAAGTTCAAGCACCTGCGAATCGAATTTGAAAATTTGAGGAAGAGATCGACCACCGAATTGTAGTAGCCACTGGTATGCTGCGTGGAAAGTAGTTTACTTTAGTTGTGACTTAAGCAGAGCTCAGTTGGAAAACTAAACTCTCGTTGTTCAAGTCGATCTTTGTCCACCGACGGTCATTAGTGGGGAACGGTAACCGAAAAGCTTCGAACCCGGGTAAAAGTTGCTGAAATGGGCTTTCTTACACGAGTTGCTGGCTTTAACCGTCTCGACGTGGTCCGGAATATTGACATCTGGAAGAACCTTGATGTACAGTCTCTGGTTCTCCGGACTGAGAAGTGACAACTGCGATGGTTTGGTCATGTATTGCGAATGCCTCCAGAGAGGAAAGCTAAGCAAGTATTTCTTGCGAGACCGACCGGCAGAAGGCCCAGGGGACGACCATGATTAATCTGGTCCAAATGTATGAACGGAGTCTATTCCAGAGTTCAGTTGTTTTCTGCTGAAACTCAGACTCC